TTCTCTGACCTTCACTGTTTGTAACCCTCTAGTACTAATGGTATTCCCGCCTCGTTTGGGGGTGAAATGATTAAAAAATGTAAGAAATGACGTCAGTTTGAACGGATTCCAACTCGAATTCGAGCAGTCGAAAAACACCAGAATTTACTCAAATAAATGTTGCTAGATCAGACCGTTTGTATCTCTTTTTGTTTCCTTGAGCAATTTTTATCCACTGTCGGCCTGCTCAGCCAGTCAGAGCTTCACCGGTGCCCCGTTGGCCAGTATTGCCTGTTTCCACCTCCCACGACGAGGACGAAGGGTTGGGCTTTGTCTAACAACCAACCAGTCCTACGAACATACACCCTCAGGTAGTCTGACTGGAGAGCGAGAGGCAGACCAAGAAGAGGCTGATACTCTCACAGCCGACGAGATATCTCTCCTCCAGGCCACTCGCCTTGCCGTTGACAGACGACTGTGTCTCCTCGCGATGGCTGATCGCACAAGCAGAAGGAAAATCTATCAATTTTGTTTACTATACTATCTAGTTTGTTACTATCTATCTATCTACCTATCTATCTCAGTGTATCACTATCTATCTATCTATCTATCTATCTATCTATCTATCTATCTATCTATCTATCTATCTATCTCAGTATGTTACTATCTGTCTATCACAGTGTGTTACTATCTATCTATTTATCTATCTACCTATTTATCTATCTTACTTTGTTACTATCTATCTATCTCAGTGTATCACTATCTATCTATCTATCTATCTATCTATCTATCTATCTATCTCAGTATGCTACTATCTATCTATCTATTTATCTATCTATATCAGTTTGTTACTATCTATCTATCTATCTCAGTGTATCACTATCTATCTATCTATCTATCTATCTCAGTATGTTACTATCTATCTATCTATCTATCTATCTATCTATCAGTGTGTTGGGTACCTTAAAATCCAATTATTCTTGAGGACCATCGTATTACACTGCAGATCACCCATCAAATGAATTGATTGTACTATTCTTTTTGATGGCACAGTGACGCCCCGTTGAACTTGATAGGCACACTATCATGCTACGTAACCAAGAGGACTTTCGTGCTGAGAAGTTTTATTTCCAGCAAGATGGGACTCCCAACACTACGATCATTATGTAAGAGCCTATAGTGACGAGATTTTACCAAACAGGTGGATTGGGCGAAGAGCTTCATTAGCATACAACCACATGTTCACCAGACTTCTTGTCAGTAGACTATTTTTATGGGGATCCTTCTTTTCTTTTTATGTGCCATGCCCTTTCAGGATGTAGGCGATCATGGTTCTCCACCTCCCTCTAACACTTGCAACTCTCAGCAAGTTCCTTCCCTCTGTTTCCTCCCCCAGACCACGTTCTGTCAGCCACCTGCTCAAGCTCGTCAGGTATGTCACGCGCTGCTTTCCCTTGTCTCTCTTTCCCTCACCTGAAGATGGCCGGAGCGTACAACGGCCGGGACGTTGTGAACATGGAAATAAAGATGAGAACAGCCTTCTGAACAATGTAAATAATTACAGTACCTCAGAAATATAGACATATACTTGATGTGTTCACCGCCAGCTGAAAAAGAATCACCTGTGTTATAAGGCAACGGTTCCGACGGCTGGCAGAGAACATCAAGTTTTCGAAGATTAATCATAAGGCAAGCGTTACTATAGGTAAATGCTGCGTTACTGAGCGTCATGATGCGCACTTGGATAGGTACCATCGTCGGTCTACTGAAGATTAAAAAACCTTTGATGTACTAGGGCTTGTAGAAGCGTAAAGCCGACGAACACTGAAGACACTACCATCCAGGCTGTAGCGGAGACAGATGCCATTTTCCCAGATATGACGGCTGGGCAACGGTACAACAGCAAGATAGATGAATAAGGTTAACGCTAAGACAAAGCCTTACTTCAATCCTACGTTGACTTTCAAAGCATCCGAAACAATGCCAGCAAATATAACGCGTGTATATATGTGTGCAAAATCTTTGATAATAGTTATGAACTTGGTTTGGCAACCAAAACGCTCCACAGTTTATCCCGATTAACTGAATCGAAGGCTTTAGCCAAATCGACGATGCTTTTCCGTATATTTTTTCCTGAAGTGAGCGCGCCACGAAAATCGTGTGCGGACTTTACAAAAGCTACATTGGGTCTCTGGTAGGAGACTTTCGCGATGAGACGTTGGGGAAGAATTCTGGCAAGAACTTTGTCTGCCACTGCAAGCAGCGCGATACCATTTAAGTCAATTGCTCAGACGTGTTACCCCAAGTGATCCTGAGTTTGCTGACCGTTTTCCGACACGACCCATAATGCCTGATCTTGACACGCAGCCGTCCGCTGAGGAGGTGAGTAGTCTCACAAAGCGTCTTAAAAACAACAAAGCGTTCGGCACCGATTGTTTTCCAGGAGAAGTATTCAAATATGGGGGCCTAAAGAGCAGTCATCGACGCCATCGTTTTATCACTGATGCGTGGAACGCACAGTGCCTTCCCCAGCAATGGAAGGACACTAAAATTATCATGGTCTACAAACGAAAATGGGGAGAAAGCTGATCGTGAAAATTGCCGTGGGATTTTTATTATGATTCAGCGTATGTATATATTTTCGGGGACATCCTGTACATAGGTTATGATAGAATAAAGTTAGTATTAATTTCGACGTAATTCTAAGCGGGAAGAAAGGACCAATCATCAATATGGTCTTTAGGAAGACGAACTGCCCAAGATGCGGGCTACGAATTGGAGACGTCACAATTAAACAGGTATAGGAATTTAAATATCTTATAAGTAACGATAGATAATCTGGCAGTAAAATCAAAAAGTTCATTGGAATAGGCAAAGATGTCTTCAAAATTGTAAGTATTAAGAAAGAGGAAAATTATGTTATATTGATTCAAGATGTTAGAGGACTGATATTATTTCGCAGTTAGAATCACTCTCCAGGAGATTAGAATCATCCATGAATGACTCATTTTAGTGACAATGTAATATCAGGAGAATTACACATTGTAATATCAGTAACTCATTGTATCCTCTAACAGCTAAATTCTAATATGTCCTCTAACTACTATGGCTGATGCTAACCTTTAGGATAGTGACCCATTGCATCTCTTCGGATTAAAGTTTTCCGCTGACATGAAGTGGAAAGAGTGAATTGAATCAACTGCTTTGTCTGCAGTTAGGTAATTTGGTTCAAGTTGTCGTGCTAGACAATTTTACTCACCAAAATCTTTCTTAGATATTTGTAAGTCCACCATTCGTCCTTGTTTTGAATATTGCTGCGACAAATGATCTGCTGCTCCAGCTATATATTTAGTGATTCTTGATAAAGTCCAAAGAAGAATCTACAATGATATTAGTCCTGGCCTGGCATCACGGCTTTAGTCATTTTCCAACAGTTGTAACAGATTCCTAGCAGTTTAAATTCGGTTTCAAATACAGCAACGGATTTGCTTATTTCATCTGTTAACTTGGAATTAAAACCAAAATTAAAGCTTCAAGAAAGATTTTTTTTTCATTTTTTTAAAATTAATTTTAAACTTTAAGTGTCATTTTTTGTGGGGGAGTTACCTATATATATATTTTTTTATTCTTCAGGCTTGTACACACACGCACACACACGCACACTTGTAAATTGCTGGCTTTTTACGAGAAAGATTCAAGGAAAGAGAGGAGTCTATCATTTAGGAAGATGGATTGATTCGCGTAGAGACAAAAATGTCTTTTACCCAAAGTTTGGCGGGAACGAGGTTTTAATCAAATGATGCGATCTGTAAAAGTGGCGACAGTACAGTCAGAAAACGAAGGATTCATGGGATGGCGAGAAGTCGATATGGAGATCGACTGATAGAGAAACCTGTAGGCATGAAATTGGTGAAACCACATAGAAGGAGAAGAACACCTCCCCAACGTACGCACGCACACACATACACACAGGCACACGTACACATACACATACACAGACACCCATGCACTTACAAGTGAATAAAGGAAAGAATATATATATAGCTTAGATGTGGCAGAAGGCCGAAAGTAGGGGGCACCCAGTGAGGATCGAACTCACTAATCAGTCGTAATGGATCTAGCAAAACAAGTTTTATAACCATTACACCACGTCGAGGTGCCCATTTTCCAAGCATAACTTAGATGTGGCACAAGGCCGAAAGTAGGGGTCACCCAGTGAGGATCGAACTCACTACTCAGTCGCGACTGTTCTAGCGAGACAAGCTTGCTAACCATTACACCACATCGAGGTGTCCCCCACCCAAAAAAAAACCCAAAACGAACGTATATAGAGATGTGGCACGAGGCCGAAAGTATGGGGCACCCAATGAGGATCGAACTCACTACTCAGTCATAATTGTGCTAGCAAGACAAGCTTGCTAACCATTACACCGCCTCGAGGTGCCCAAAAGATTTTCTAAGCGAAGCTTAGATGTGGCACAAGGCCGAAAGCATGCGGCATCCAGTGAGGATCGAACTCACTCGTCAGTAGTAACTGATCTAGCAAGACAAGCTTTCTAACCATTACATCACATCAAGGGGTCCCCCACCAAAAAAACAAAAAAAACAAAAAACGAACGTATATACTTAACAACCTAATCTCTTAAAATTCACTTCAGTTCAAAGAATATAAATTTTATTCTTACGAAATAACTTACGAAATTATCTGAGACATACATTCTTATTTCTTATTTTTAGTAATTTCATTTGGTGGGAAACATTATTACTCTGCTTATGGTTATTAATTAGCGTAGAGTTTAATCAATTTATAACCATTAATTAACAGTCAAAAAGAAACAAAACTGAGGTATATATAATCATAAATTAAAACGTCTTGACTTTGAAATCCGTTTAACATGAAAGAATAGAATAGAACGAGTAGAGAAGTATAAGAGTTACTGAGAAAGAGAAGGAGTAGGTAAGAGGCGTTGTGAAAGAGAGGAAGGGCGTAATGGATACCGAGAAGGAGAGGGTAAGGTGTATTAAGAAAGAGAGGAATGCAGCAATAGACATTGAGAAAAAAAAAAGAGGAAGAAAGTGGTAGGCATTGAGAAAGAGAGATGGAGTATAAAAGGGAAATGGGGAAAGCGGGAGAAGTTAAGAGGCATTGAGAAAGAAAAAAAAAAAGAAAGAGTGAAAAAGGTAAGGAAACAGAGAGGAAGAGGAGTCACTGAGGAGGAGAAAACGAGGATAACGGATATCGAGGGAGAATAATTAATTGGAAAGAGAGGAGGAGGATAAAAGATACCGAAAAAGGAAGCCGCTGGTGGTGGTGGGGGGGGATAAATTATACTGAGAAAAGAAGGTATGTGATAAAAGACACTAAGAAAGAAGGGATATGATAAAAGATACTGAGAAAGGGAAGTAGAGGAAAAAGAATACTGAGACCGACAGTAAGCTGTACCAAGAAAGAGAGAAAAAGGGCAAGAGGTGATAAGAGGGAAAGAGCATAGCAGAGAGAGAGAGAAAGAAGGCAAACGATTCTGAAACCGAGAGGAAGAGAATGTGTAGCAATAAGAAAGAGAAAAAATGGACAAATACTAAGAAAGAAAAGAAACACTGAGATAGTGAGGAGGAGGATAAAATATATTTAGAGAAGAAGAGGGTTTGAGTTACTGAGGAAAAGAGGAAGAGAGTTAATGATACTTGAGAGAGAGAGAGAGAGAGAGAGAGAGAGGACGAGATTTAGAGTGAATTATAAAGAAAAAAAAAGGGATAACAAATACTGATAAAGGAAAGAGGTAAAAAGTAGACCATGTGAGGAGGAGGATAAAAGATACTTAGAGAGGGCGAGCATTTTCAGTTACTGAGAAATACAGACAATGAGTAAAGGATACTGGGACAGAGAGGAGGAGAGTTAGAGACACTGAGATAGAGAGGAAGACGTGTAGAATCGCGAAGAGCCTGAGAACTTATGGTCGCAGAATCGAATAGAACACCAAGAAGAGAAGTTGCGTGCCATGTTGAGCGGAAAGGAGCTGTGACTTTGAGGGATTACTCTTGTCTTCAGAATGAAAAACGACATTGATTACCTCCCTTGATTAGAACACGAAGCACCTTGGCAGTGGGCATGTTTTCCTACGTGGTACTCGAAATGGAAAACGTGTCTGGTGCTGGGTCGGGTGGGTAGGAGAGTCAAGAGGTACAGCGATAGCCTCATAGAAATGAGTTTATAAATAAGTAAAACATAAAACTAAGTAAATAATGAGAGACGAAGAGGGTGGAAGACGAGGGCAAGGGGTGGGCAGATGTGGTGAAAAAATGGGTATGCGTAGCACAGCTTGTGAAACCGTCGCACGCAATATCTCGTTAGAGTGAATAAAGAAACGAAAACTCGATAAAGATCAGGAGGGGAATAAATCAGGAACGTATTTTAAAATCATGATAACGAAGAAAGTGCTATTATGGATATCCGAAGCGATATTATTAGGACGACCAAAAAGTTCATTCCGTTTTGAGTATTAGAAGGAATTAGGAGCCTTTAGCTTGAACTAAAAAAAGAAAGATCGCTTTAAGTTCTATGGCATTAGGTGGGAAGCGGAAGCCATTGACCACAAACATTTGACGAACATCATTCAAACTTGTTTCTGAATACCTCAAATTGCTTCAAAAATAACTCAAGTTGCTAAAAAAATACCCCAAATTGCTACAAAATATCACAAATTGCTACAAAAATACCTCAAATTACTACAAAAATATCTCAAATTACTACAAAAATGCCCCAAATTTCTACAAAAATATCCCAGATTGCTATAAAAATACCCGAAATTGCTACAAAAATACCGAAATTGCGACAAAATATCTCATATTGCTACAAAAATACCCCGAATTACTACAAAAATATCTCAAATTGCTACAAAAATATCTGAAATTGCTACAAAATATCTAAATTGCTACAAAAAATATCCCAAATTGCAAAAATATACCTCAAATTGCTACAAAAATATTCCAAATGTCTACAAAAAATATCTCAAATTACTACAAAAATGCCCCAAATTTCTACAAAAATATCCCAGATTGCTATAAGAATACCCGAAATTGCTACAAAAAAGCCGAAATTGCTACAAAATATAGCTTTCCTTTTTATTCTTCTGGTCAGCCATCCCAAAATAGCTTTCCTTTTTATTTTTCTGGTCTGCCATCTCAAAATAGCTTTCCTTTTTATTCTTCTGGTCTGCCATACCAAACTAGCTTTCCTTTTTTTTCGTCTGGTCTGCCATCTCAAAATAGCTTTCCTTTTTATTCTTCTAGTCTGCCATCCCCAAATAGCTTTCCTTTTTATTCTTCTGGTCTAACATCCCAAAATAGCTTTTCTTTTTATTTTTCCTGTCTGCCATCTCAAAATAGCTTTCCTTTTTATTCTTCTGGTCTGCCATCCCCAAATAGCTTTCCTTTTTTTTCGTCTGGTCTGCCATCTCAAAATAGCTTTCCTTTTTATTCTTCTAGTCTGCCATCCCCAAATAGCTTTCCTTTTTATTCTTCTGGTCTGCCATCCCAAAATAGCTTTCATTTTTATTCCTCTGGTCTCCCATGCCAAAATAGCTTTCATTTTTATTCCTCTGGTCTCCCATGCCAAAATAGCTTTCATTTTTATTCCTCTGGTCTCCCATGCCAAAATAAAATACATCACAATTCCTCTAGTCTGCCACCTCAAGATAGCGTTTCTCTTCAGTCCTCTGCCCTGCCACCTCAAAATAGCTTTCATTTTTTATTTCTCTGGCTTTCCATCGGAAAATATTTTATCTCTTAATGCACTGGTCGACCAACTCAATATCGCGTACCTTTTTATTTCGATTGTATGCTATCTCAAAATAACGTTGCTTTTATTTGTCGAGTCAGGCATCTCAGAATAGCGTCCCTTTATAATCCTCTTCTTTGCCATCTCTAAATAGCGTTTTTTTTTAAATCCTCTGTTCTGACATTTCAAAATAGAGTTCGTCTTTATTCCTTTGGTCTGCCACCGCAAAATAGCGTTTTTTTTTATTTCTCAAGATCCTTATCATAAAATAGCACTCTTCTTTATTCCACTGGATTGCCACTTAAAAGCGGGTGCGGAATTAATATCAACTCAGAACTAATTTCAACTCGGAATTAATTTCAACCCGGAATTAATTTCAACTTGGAAATAATTACTAAGGATTTTAATGCTAAATTATAAAAAAATAACACCAACTCATTGCATTTTGTTTAGGAATTCACGGAAAAAGATAACTTTGATTTTAAATTGAATTGAAATTAGTTCTGAGTTGAAATTAGTTCCGAGTTAAAATTAATTCCGAGTTGAAATTAGTTCTCTAACTCTAAAAGTAGCGTTTCTTTTTATTTCTCTGTTCTACCATCTAAAATTAGCGTACCCCTTAATCCACTGATCAAGTACCGCAGTATCGTGATTCTATTTATTTCGCTGGTCTGCTATCGCAAAACATCGTTGTTCTTTATTTTTCAGGTTATAATTATATAATTTACTTTATTCATCTAGTCTGGCACATCAAAAGAGCGTTTTATTTATTTTTCTGGTATCACAACTTAAAATAGCATTGCTTTTTATTTGTGTGCATTAAAAATAGTCTAGTCATCTCACTTGCAATCTAAAAACAGCATTAATCTTTATTATTCTGGTCATTACAAAAAGGCGTTTCTATTAATTACTCTAGCAATTCAAAATAAAATTTGTCTTTGTTTCTCTATCTTCTCTATACCTATTTATCTTTCTGTTCTGACACCTCTAAACAGCGTTGCTCTTTATACACATGATCTGGACCTGGCAGGCTAAGTAATGTCTCTCTTTATTTCTGTGGTCGGGTAACCGTCAAAACAGCGTTCCTCTTTATACACATGGTCTGGAGCTGACAGACCAAGTAATGTCTCTCTTTATTACTGTTGTCGGGTACCCGTCAAAACAGCGTTCCTCTTTATACACATGGTCTGGACATGACAGTCCAAGTAATGTCCCTCTTTATTTCTGTGGTCGGGTAACAGTCAAATCAGCGTTCCTCTTTATACAGATGGTCTGGACCTGACTGTCCAAGTAATGTCCCTCTTTATTTCTGTGGTCGGATACCCGTAAAAACAGAGTTCCTCTTTATACACATGGTCTGGACCTGGCAGTAGAAGTAATGTCTCTCTTTATTTCTGTGGTGTGCGACGGTCAAAACAGCGTTCCTCTTTACATACATGGTCTGTGACCTTCAAAACAGCGTTCCTCTTTATACACATGGTCTGGACCTGACAGTCCAAGTAATGTCCCTTTTTATTTGTGTGGTCGGGTAACAGTCAAAACAGCGTTCCACTTTATACACATGGTCTGGACCTGACAGTCAAACTAATGTCCCTCTTTATTTCTCTGGTCTGTGACCGTCAAAACAGCGTTCCTCTTTATATACATGGTCTGGACCTGACAGTAGAAGTAATGTCTTTGTTTATTTCTATGATGTGCGAAGGTCAAAACAGCGTTCCTCTTGAAACACATGGTCTAGACCTGACAGTCCAAGTAATGTCTCTCTTTATTCCTATAGTGACCGACGGTCAAAACAGCGTTCCTCTTTATACATATGGTCTGGAACTGACACTCCAAGTAATGTCTCTCTACATTTCTATGGTCTGTGACCGTCAAAGCAGTGTTCTTCTTTATACACATGGTCTGGACCTGACAGTCCAAGTAATGTCTCTCTTGATTTCTATAGTGTGCGACGGTCAAAAGAGCGTTCCTCTTTATACACATGGTCTGGACCTGAGAATCCAAGTAATGTCTCTCTTTATTTCTATGGTCTGTGACAGTCAAAACAGCGTTCCTCTTTATACACATGGTCTGGACCTGACAGTCCAAGTGATGTCCCTTTTTATTTCTGTGGTCGGGTAACCATCAAAACAGCGTTCCTCTTTATACACATGGTTTGGACCTGAAAGTCAAGTAATGTCTCTCCTTATTTCTATAGTCTGTGACAGTCAAAACAGCGTTCCTCTTAAAACACATGGTCTGGATCTGACAGTCCAAGTAATGTCTCTCTTTATTACTGTGGTCGAGTAACTGTCAAAACAGCGTTCCTCTTTATACACATGGTCTGGACCTGACAGTCTAAGTGATGTCCCTTTTTATTTCTGTGGTCGGGTAACCGTCAAAACAGCGTTCCTCTTTATACACATGGTCTGGACATGACAGTCCAAGTAATGTCCATCTTTATTTCTGTGGTCGGGTACCCGTTAAAACAGCGTTCCTCTTTATATACATGTTCTGGACCTGGCAGTAGGAGTAATGTCTCTTTTTATTTCTGTAGTGTGCGTCGGTCAAAACAGCGTTCCTCTTAACATACATGGTCTGGACATGACAGTTCAAGTAACGTCCCTCTTTATTTCTATGGCCTTTGACCTTCAAAACAGCGTTCCTCTTTATACACATGGTCTGGACCTGACAGTCCAAGTAATGTCCCTTTTTATTTCTGTGGTCGGGTAACCGTCAAATCAGCGTTCCTCTTTATACAGATGGTCTGGACATGACAGTCCAAGTAATGTCTCTCTTTATTTCTTTATTCGGGTACCAGTCAAAAACAGCGTTCCTCTTTATACACATGGTCTGGAGCTGACAGTCCAAGTAATGTCCCTTTTCATTTCTATGGTCTGCGATCATCAAAACAGCGTTCCTCTTTATACACATGGTCTGGACCTGACACTCCAAGTAATGTCTCTCTTTATTTCTGTGGTCGGGTACCCGTCAAAACAGCGTTCCTCTTTATACACATGGTCTGGAGCTGAAAGTCCAAGTAATGTCCCTTTTCATTTCTATGGTCTGCGATCATCAAAACAGCGTTCCTCCTTATACACATGGTCTGGACCTGACACTCCAAGTAATGTCTCTATTTATTTCTGTGGTCGGGTACCCGTCAAAACAGCGTTCCTCTTTATACACATGGTCTGGGCATGACAGTCCAATAATGTCTCTCTTTATTTCTGTATTCGGGTACCCGTCAAAACAGCGTTCCTCTTTACATACATGGTCTGGACCTGACAGTAGAAGTAATGTCTTTGTTTATTTCTATGATGTGCGAAGGTCAAAACAGCGTTCCTCTTGAAACACATGGTCTAGACCTGACAGTCCAAGTAATGTCTCTCTTTATTCCTATAGTGACCGACGGTCAAAACAGCGTTCCTCTTTATACATATGGTCTGGAACTGACACTCCAAGTAATGTCTCTCTTCATTTCTATGGTCTGTGACCGTCAAAGCAGTGTTCTTCTTTATACACATGGTCTGGACCTGACAGTCCAAGTAATGTCTCTCTTGATTTCTATGGTGTGCGACGGTCAAAAGAGCGTTCCTCTTTATACACATGGTCTGGATCTGAGAATCCAAGTAATGTCTCTCTTTATTTCTATGGTCTGTGACCGTCAAAACAGCGTTCCTCTTTATACACATGGTCTGGACCTGACAGTCCAAGTGATGTCCCTTTTTATTTCTGTGGTCGGGTAACCATCAAAACAGCGTTCCTCTTTATACACATGGTTTGGACCTGAAAGTCAAGTAATGTCTCTCCTTATTTCTATAGTCTGTGACCGTCAAAACAGCGTTCCTCTTAAAACACATGGTCTGGATCTGACAGTCCAAGTAATGTTCATCTTTATTTCTGTAGTCGGGTACCCGTTAAAACAGCGTTCCTCTTTATACACATGGTCTGGACCTGACAGTCCAAGTAATGTACCTCTTTATTTCTGTGGTCGGGTACCTGTCAAAACAGCGTTCCTCTTTATACACATGGTCTGGACCTGACAGTCCAAGTAATGTCTCTCTTTATTTCTTTGGTCGGGTAACCGTCAAAACAGCGTTCCTCTTTATACACGTGGTCTGGACCTGACAGTCCAAGTAATGTCTCTCTTTATTTCTTTGGTCGGGTAACCGTCAAAACAGCGTTCCTCTTTATACACATGGTCTGGACCTGACAGTCCAAGTAATGTCTCTCTTTATTTCTTTGGTCGGGTAACCGTCAAAACAGCGTTCCTCTTTATACACATGGTCTGGACCTGACAGTCTAAGTAATGTCTCTCTTTATTACTGTGGTCGAGTAACCGTCAAAACAGCGTTCCTCTTTATACACATGGTCTGGACCTGACAGTCTAAGTGATGTCCCTTTTTATTTCTGTGGTCGGGTAACCGTCAAAACAGCGTTCCTCTTTATACACATGGTCTGGACATGACAGTCCAAGTAATGTCCATCTTTATTTCTGTGGTCGGGTACCCGTTAAAACAGCGTTCCTCTTTATATACATGGTCTGGACCTGGCAGTAGGAGTAATGTCTCTTTTTATTTCTGTAGTGTGCGTCGGTCAAAACAGCGTTCCTCTTAACATACATGGTCTGGACATGACAGTTCAAGTAACGTCCCTCTTTATTTCTATGGCCTTTGACCTTCAAAACAGCGTTCCTCTTTATACACATGGTCTGGACCTGACAGTCCAAGTAATGTCCTTTTTATTTCTGTGGTCGGGTCAAAACAGCGTCAAATCTGGAGCGTTCCTCTTTATACAGATGGTCTGGATGGTCTGACAGTCCAAGTAATGTCTCTCTTTATTTCTTTATTCGGGTACCAGTCAAAACAGCGTTCCAGCGTTCTTTATACACATGGTCTGGAGCTGACAGTCCAAGTAATGTCCCTTTTCATTTCTATGGTCTGCGATCATCAAAAGTCAAAGCGTTCCTCTTTATACACATGGTCTGGACCTGACACTCCAAGTAATGTCTCTCTTTATTTCTGTGGTCGGGTACCCGTCAAACAGCGTAATGTCCTCTTTATGACACACATGGTCTGGAGCTGAAAGTCCAAGTAATGTCCCTTTTCATTTCTATGGTCTGCGATCATCAAAACAGCGTTCCTCCTATTTATTTTATACACATGGTCTGGACCTGACACTCCAAGTAATGTCTCTTTATTTCTGTGGTCGGGTACCCGTCAAAACAGCGTTCCTCTTTATACACATGGTCTGGGCATGACAGTCCAATAATGTCTCTCTTTATTTCTGTATTCGGGTACCCGTCAAAACAGCGTTCCTCTTTACATACATGATCTGGACCTGACAGTTCAAGTAAAGTCCCTCTTTATTTCTATGGACTGTGACCTTCAAAACAGCGTTCCTCTTTATACACATGGTCTGGACCTGGCAGTCCAAGTAATGTCACTCTTTATTCCTGTGGTCTGGTAACCGTCAAAACAGCGTTCCTCTTTATATACATGGTCTGGACCTGGCAGTAGAAGTGATGTCTCTCTTTATTTCTGTGGTGTGCGACGGTCAAAACAGCGTTCTTCTTTACATACATAGTCTGGACCTGACAGTTCAAGTAACGTCCCTCTTTATTTCTATGGTCTGTGACCTTCAAAACAGCGTTCCTCTTTATACACATTGTCTGGACCTGACAGTCCAAGTAATGTCCCTCTTTATTTCTGTGGTTGGGTACCCGTCAAAACAGCGTTCCTCTTCATACACATGGTCTGGAGCTGACAGTCCAAGTAATGTCTCTCTTTATTTCTGTGGTCGGGTAACCGTCAAATCAGCGTTCCTCTTTATACAGATGGTCTGGTCATCACAGTCCAAGTAATGTCCCCCTTTATTTCTGTGGTCGGGTAACCGTAAAATCAGCGTTCCTCTGTATACAGATTATCTGGACCTGACAGTCCAAGTAATGTCCGTCTTTATTTGTGTGGTCGGGTAACCGTCAAAACAGCGTTCCTCTTTACATACATGGTCTGGACCTGACAGTTCAAGTAACGTCCCTCTTTATTTCTATGGTCTGTGACCTTCAAAACAGCGTTCCTCTTTATACACATGGTCTGGACCTGACAGTCCAAGTAATGTCCCTCTTTATTTCTGTGGTCGGGTAACCGTCAAATCAGCGTTCCTCTTTATACAGATGGTCTGGACATGACAGTCCAAGTAATGTGTCTCTTTATTTCTGTATTCGGGTACCCGTCAAAACAGCGTTCCTCTTTATACACATGGTCTGGTGCTGACAGTCCAAGTAATGTCCCTTTTCATTTCTATGGTCTGCGATCAACAAAACAGCGTTCCTCTTTATACACATGGTCTGGACCTGACACTCCAAGTAATGTCTCTCTTTATTTCTGTGGTCGGGTACCCGTCAAAACAGCGTTCCTCTTTATACACATGGTCTGGACATGACAGTCCAATAATGTCTCTCTTTATTTCTGTATTCGGGTACCCGTCAAAACAGCGTTCCTCTTTATATACATGGTCTGGACCTGACAGTCCAAATAATGTCACTCTTTATTCCTGTGGTCGGGTAACCGTCAAAACAGCGTTCCTCTTTATATGTATGGTCTGGACCTGGCAGTAGAATTAATGTCTCTCTTTATTTCTGTGGTGTGCGACGGTCAAAACAGCGTTCTTCTTTACATACATGGTCTAGACCTGACAGTTCAAGTAACGTCCCTCTTTATTTCTATGGTCTGTGACCTTCAAAACAGCGTTCCTCTTTATACACATGGTCTGGACCTGACAGTCCAAGTAATGTCCCTCTTTATTTCTGTAGTTGGGTACCCGTCAAAACAGCGTTCCTCTTCATACACATGGTCTGGAGCTGACAGTCCAAGTAATGTCTCTCTTTATTTCTGTGGTCGGGTAACCGTCAAATCAGCGTTTCTCTTTATACAGATGGTCTGGTCCTCACAGTCCAAGTAATGTCCCTCTTTATTTCTGTGGTCGGGTACCCGTCAAAACAGCGTTCCTCTTTATACACATGGTCTCGACCTGACAGTCCAAGTAATGTCACTCTTTATTTCTGTGGTCGTGTAACCGTCAAAACAACGTTACTCTTTATATACATGCTCTGGACCTGGCAGTAGAAGTAATGTCTCTCTTTATTTCTATGGTCTGTGAACGTCAAAACAGTGTTCTTCTTTATACACAAGGTCTGGACCTGACAGTCCAAGTAATGTCTCTCTTGATTTCTATGGTGTGCGACGGTCAAAAGAGCGTTCCTCTTTATACACATGGTCTGGACCTGACAGTCCAAGTAATGTCTCTCTTTATTACTGTGGTCGAGTAACCGTCAAAACAGCGTTCCTCTTTATACACATGGTCTGGACCTGACAGTCTAAGTGATGTCCCTTTTTATTTCTGTGGTCGGGTAACCGTCAAAACAGCATTCCTATTTATACAAATGGTTTGCGCCTGACAGTCCAAGTAATATCTCTCTTTATTTCTATGGTTTGTTACCGTCAAAACAGCGTTCCTCTTTACACACATGGTCTGGACCTGACTGTCCAAGTAATGTCTCTCTTTATGTCTATGGTGTGCGACGGTCAAAACAGCTTTCCTCTTCATACACATGGTCTTGACCTGACAGTCCAAGTAATCTCTCTCTTTATTTCTATGGAGTGCGACTGTCAAAACAGCGTTCCTCTTTATGTCTCTGATCTGCCAACTCAAAATAATATTTCCCTTCATTTCTCTTGCATGCCTCAACGAATTAGCGTTTCCCTTTCTTTATCTGGTCTGAGACCTGATAATAGTCTTCCTCTTTATTCACCTGGTTTTGCTTCTTAAAATATCGTACCTCTTTATTGTTCTCGCCTGCCATATAAAAACAAATAACAAAAAAAAAAACGTTCATCTTTAGCCCACTGGTCTACCATCAAAATATCGGTCCGCTTTTTTAATCTGGACAGCAATGCTCAAAGTAGCTTTCTTTTAATTCTTTATCTTGGCATATCAAATAACGTTTATATTTATCCTTATGCACATCAGAATAGCTTCTCTTTATATTTATCTGGTCTGAAACTTCATCATAGCGTACTTTAGTCATCCGGTCTGGGATCTCAAAATAGCTTCTACTTATAATTCTCTATTCTGAAACCTCAAAATAGCGTTATTTAATCCTCTGGTTTCACACATCACAATAGCTTCCCTTTATATTTCTCACGTCTGAAACGTCAAAATAGCGTTCTTCCATAGTCTGGCATCTCAAAATAGCGATCATTTTTTTCCTCTAGTCTAGCACCTGATAATAGTTTTTCTTTTTATTTCTCTGGTCTGGAATCACAAAATTACCTTTCTTTTCATTTCAATACGCTTTCAACGCAAAACGACCTTTCTCTTCATCTAGTCTACCAAATGTAAATAGCATTCCTTATTATTTCTCTTGTCTACCAATTTCAAAATAACGTATCTAGAAAATAATAACCCCTCCCCAAACTTAAACATTTTGAAAGTATAAAATATATACTTTAATAGTAAAAATGGACAAAGTCCGACAATTATTTTGAGATATTTTTATGTTTCTACATTCAGTTTATAGATACAAATATTTAAGTAAATGCTCTGTTTTATAATAAACAGTATTAACAACATTTACCGGCCTGAATGTCCAAGAAATTGTCATAGAAAATATGCCTCCTCCGACAGAATCGAACCTGTATCCTATACGGAACTGTCACATAGCCTGAGGTGCACATATGATTTGATGGTGCCCAAACGTCCCTCCGCAGGTTTCAAATTCAGAGTTGTCCTTCGCCTAGACCAGTTACCATCCAAGTCTATAGAACCCAGTCTGCCCTGCTATTTACCCATAGCTGGAGGGAGAAGAAGAGGGTTCACACTTCTCCCTAGGTTATTAGTACCAAAGTGAATGTAATGGATTCGACTGGAATTCGAACTCGGCTCTCCGATTCCACAATTCAAGCCGCTAGCCATTACTGGATTAGGTGCCTGGCGATTGGTAGAATGCGGTGTTTTTACCGATTGAGATAGAAGTTGGAAGAGTACAAGTATCATTTTTCACATGGCGGTGGGTCGAGCGATGCCATTTAACTGTGCCTCGTCTTATATATATATATATATATATATATATATATATATATATATATATATATATATATATATATATATATATATATATATGTGTGTGTGTGTGTGTGTGTATATGCATATATATATATGCATATATTTATATATATTTGTGTGTATGTTTTATGTGTGTGTGTATATGCATATATATATGCATATATATATATATATATATATGAGTGTGTATGTATATATATGTGTATGTATATGCATATATATATGCTTATATATATTTGTGTATATATATATATGGGTGTGTTAGTGTGTGTGTATGTATATGCATATATATATGCATATATATATATTTTGTGTGTGTATGTTTTATATATATATGTGTGTATGTATATATATATATATATATGCGTATATATATTTGTGTGTTTAAGTATATATAGATATGTGTGTGCGTATGTATATGCATATTTATATGCATATATATATATATATATATATATATATATTCACTGTCGAAACTCCTAAATGTAGCCGTCTTTTCTACTCCAATAGCTTCATGTCTCGCACCTCTCGCTTGTGGAACTTCCTTCCCTAGTTTCCCTGAGAGCTATAATCTCCAGCTATTCAAATGTTATGTCAATCGACATCGCCAGTTCCCCTGATCTATCCACTACCCTTCTCCTCATCCTTTCTTCTATCACTCCTATCTGATCTTGTTCCAAATTTTCTGTAACCACTTGCGTCCTAATGGCTTCCCACCTTGCTTGGGGTGAAACGCTAATATATATATATATATATATATATATATATATATATATATATATATATATATATATATATATGAAACTGTTAGAGGACGTAAAGGCTGACATTAATAAAATCAATGATTCCCTTTGTTTGATTCATAAAGTCATTAGACATTCATTTTATATACTCTAAAATTGCCAAAGTCTATCCCTATCTCAGTGTGTTCCGATCCATCTATCTATCTATCTATCTATCTATCTATCTATCTATCTATCTATCTTCACTTTGACTATCTATCGTCACTTTGTCTCTTTCTCTAACTCTCTCTCTCTCTCTATCTATCTATCTATCTATCGTCACTTTCTCCATATCTATCTATGTGCAAATTATTCCGTTTTATAGCTGTCTAAATCTTTTATTTTTACACTTTATTCGAAAATTCCTTTGATATTCTCCTGTTAATTCCAACTCCTTCCTCTCCCACCCGTCCCTGCATCGACCCCCCCAATATTTCTTCGAGTCATTTAACTTATCACTTTTTCAACTTACCTCCCGATCAACCTACTTACCTATCTATCTTTGCGAAGCGTCCTGTCCCCTTCAAAGCCAAATCTGAAAAGCCGGCTTTTTAGCTCAAATCTAAAAGCTGTGTTCACCTACAGAGACAGAGGCCTCTAAATTGGGTGTCTCCGATGTTTTCTAAGTGCTTCTCACAAAGAGGTTACCGAAGCAGGCTAAAACCCAGCGAGCCGTTTGGCGGCAATACACATCGTATAAAGCATTGATTCCTCTAAAGATGAGGCTGCATAATAGGCGCCTGGCGATTGGTAGAATGCGGTGTTTGTACCGACTGAGATTGAAGTTGGAAGAGTACAAGTATCGTTTCTCACTTGGCCGTGGGTCGAGCGATGCCCGTTTACTTAACAAAAGAACTGATATCACCAAGAGAAATCTTTATTCGCATTAAAATCTATTTATCTCAACCATTCACTGATATCCCATTTTAAAGGTTTATTCTCTATGAATCAATTCAACACAGACTACGATTTTGCCTGTAACTTGCAGTATCTATCTATCTATCTATCTATCTATCTATCTATCTCAGACTGTTCATATCTATCTATCTATCTATCTATCTATCTATCTATCTATCTATCTATCTATCTATCTCAGACTGTTCATATCTATCTATCTATCTATCTATCTATCTATCTATCTATCTATCTATCTATCACAGCCTGCCTATTTCAATCACTCTTTTTTTCGTAATCTTTCTATCTGAAATCCCAGTGTATTTATATCCTTATCTATCTATCTCAGACTTTTCATATCTATCTATCTCAGACTGTTCATATCTATCTATCTATCTATCTATCTATCTATCTATCTATCTATCTCAGACTGTTCATATCTATCTCAGACTGTTCATATCTATCTATCTATCTATCTATCTATCTATCTATCTATCTATCTCAGACTGTTCATATCTATCTATCTATCTATCTATCTATCTATCTATCTATCTATCTATCTATCACAGCCTGCCTATTTCAATCACTCTTTTTTCGTAATCTTTCTATCTGAAATCCCAGTGTATTTATATCCTTATCTATCTATCTCAGACTTTTCATATCTATCTATCTCAGACTGTTCATATATCTATCTATCTATCTATCTATCTATCTATCTATCTATCTATCTATCTATCTATCACAGCCTGCCTATTTCAATCACTCTTTTTTCGTAATCTTTCTATCTGAAATCCCAGTGTATTTATATCCTTATCTATCTATCGCAGACTTTTCATATCTATCTATCTATCTATCTATCTATCTATCTATCTATCTATCTATCTATCTATCTCAGACTGTTCATATCTATCTATCTATCTATCTATCTATCTATCTATCTATCTATCTATCTATCTATGTTCATATCTGAGTTCAGATTTATCTATCTGTCCACCTGAATCTCTCTTTATTTCGTAACCTTTTTTCTGTTTCAGAAATCGCTGTCTATTCAATCTGTTCACATCTATCTCTGATCAGAGCTATCTTTACTCAGCGCCTCACATTATAACTTCATCAAATGGTATAGAATCTAAAGACTTATTTCTTGAGTGAAGGCAACTTCTGTCTACGCATTTAAGATGAAAGTCAGTTTGTTCTGATCTATCTATCTATCTATCTATCTATCTATCTGTCACAGCCTGTCTACTTCATTCAAGGTGTTTCGTAATCTTTCTTTATATCAGAAATCTGAAGGTATTTATATCCTTATCTATCTATCTATCTATCTATCTATCTATCTATCTATCTAACTATTTCAATCTGTTCACATCTATGTCAGTCTGTTCATCTCTCTCTCTATCTATCTATCTATATTTACTCTGTGCCATAGATTGTGTGTAAGTTTATGTTTTTCAAATGAAATGGAATGTAAAGACTTATTTGTTGAATGAAAGCTACATCTATCAGTGCGTTTAGGTTGAAAGCCGTTTTGTTCTGCACAAGTTTTAACGCACGGCTGCCATTGATATGACATGTCCTCAATTTAGAAGTCACAGGGAGCTTTTTCAGCTTTTAAAATGGTTATTATATTGATTTAACGATAACAAAGGGAAATGTGGAATAAGTTGCGAACAATAAAAAAATTACATCGCTGGAACTTTTGCAACCGATCGGCAGAAAAAGACTGACCTGTGAAGAAGTTCGTTGAAGATTTTGGACGATTTCCGGTTTGTGATCAGATTATAGGCACCGAAATCGAGGCACATGGTGGTATTAAGTTTAAATGACAGCTCAAAGATACATAGGTTTTTGAAGGCACACATAGTGGCACTGTTCAGGAAGACAAACGTTGAAGTGGAAGGCTTGTTTGCATCACCATATTTTTAGTGTATATTATTTTTACAATGACGATCACCCTATACAAAGCCTAAGAACCACTAGAGGTAGAGTATTTACAGAGGAAGTGGCATAGTGTATGGGGATATAGGAGAAGGAAGATAATGGTGGATCCTAAACTTTAAATAGTTAAGATTGTAGGGATCGGGGAAGCATCCTCTAAGAGTCACTTCCACAAAGCAGTGATTCGTGGGATGAAACTGCTCGACTGGGACTTACAACTCACCAATGTAAGAGGAAGGGAATGGCTATATTGTGAGTAGCATGGAAGGTCTTAGCCTTGAAGGTTAGAACTAGTGCAACTAATGAATGAATGAGATATCAGTGAATGGTTGAGATAAATAGATTTTAATGCGAATAAATATTTCTCTTTGTGATATCAGGTCTTTTGTTAAGTAAACGGGCACCGCCTGAACAATTTCTATGTAAATAGTGGTAGAGCAGCAAGAGTCTTGCGACTTGTGGGAAAGTGGTTGTAGGATGGAAAATAATTTGTCTGTGGGAAAGGCTTTTTTTTATAGAAAAGATTACATTGACTGATGGCGATGTAATTTACAAGCATTCATCAACGTTGGGATTTTATTCTGGATGCTGCGCTGTCTGTTTCATTTTTTTATGTTACTATCCACACAAAAAAGGCCAAAGAGTCACCCAAGAGAGAGAAGATTACTGAAAGTTGTTTTATGGACGAAAGAGGATGGGATAATTAGTTAGGATCTTGAGCATATGTCGGAAAGATAAGAGTTGATCCTAAATCTGAAGAATTTAAGATTGTAGCGACTGTGGAAGACTCTTCTCAGGAATGTGTCCCCTAAAGCGGCTATTGGGAAGAAACTGTCCAAATGAAACTTCATACCAATGAAATGTGAATGAGTAAAAACAAAAATCGTTCACACGGCCTTCTGGGTGATGAATTATTTTCAGTCATAGAGTGTATTTCTTGAAGACGAAACTTCTCAAACCTTTCACTACCCTGTCACTATTTCCATGGTAAATACTCTGATAAACTACATTCCTAGTTCCAGCAGTTCGGTAATTTAGAGCTAGACCCCACCAGACCATGAGCACAGTGTCAAAAACATCTTTATTCCCCGTATTCCATTTATAAAAAAGTGATTACTCAGACTGCTCCTTCTTGGAACAGGCATTAGAGAGGACGCTTCCCCCAAACACAACACTCTTAACCTCTCCGTCTAGGGCTAATCTTTATCTATCCTACATATCCTCATAATTAGCACTTACTTCCTCCCTTTACAGTTATGCGAAAACTTCTTGGGACTTGTATTTCAGTTTTTTATGTGCCATGTCCTTTCATGGCTCTCCACCTGCCTCTATCCCTTGCAGCTCTCAACAAGTTCCTTCCCTCTACTTCCTTCCCCCAGAGTATGTTCTGTCATCCACCTGCTCAAGTTCGTCAGGTATGTCACGCGTTGCTTTCCTTTGTCTCTCTTTCCATCTATTCGACCCGTGAGTATCAGATTCTCCAGACCCTCCTTTCTCATTACGTAGCCCAGAAACTTCAGCTGCCTCTTTCTGATGTTAAGTACAAGCCTTCTCCTTGTTTGTAACTTCTCTAAGACCTCATCGTTGCTCACATGCTCGGTCCATGATACCCTCAGCATCCTTCTGTAGAAGCACATCTCTGTCGCCTCGAGTCTCTTCCTCATCCTTGATGAAAACGTTTAACATTAGCTGCCGTAAAGAAGAACAGACGTCACGTAACTGTTCAGTATTCTTTTCTTTGTTACCTAAGAAATCCTGCTCTCTCACACTACTCTGCTAGGCTTTTGGAATAGGCGAAAAAAATGGTTTATCGACAAAAGACTAACCAGCCGCCTTCACTTACCAATCAGTTTCTCTAGCTTTAGATGGACTTCACTCTAGGAGGACAATTCAAAATCGTACAGAAGGCAATAGAAAAGCGTTCATCTTCAACAAGAAATCATGACAATGCGGAGCTAAGGAATCCATAATGAGCGCCATGATCACCTCCGTCCTTCAAGGAGAAGGAAAATTCAAAACCGTAGAGAAAACAACGGGAAAGATCTCCACTAAATTTCGTCGGATGTCATAGCCATTCACAGAAAAGAAACTCCGACTTCAATTGTATATTTTTCTACATATTTGTTGTGGCCTGTTTAAGGGCCAGAAAGAAAGACACGGAAGACGAAGGTCGGTTGAAAAAAGTATATTGAAGATATATCCAAAACAATAGTGTTAGTAATAAGTAGATTAGTACAGCGTCTACTACTCCATCTCACTTTACACTCTCTTCACATCCAACTCTCGCAGTTTGTATTTATGAGAGGAGGAAGAGTTCAGTATACTGTAAGAGGGTTTACCACAACAATATTTGACTAAAAAATATGATTTCATAGCTTTTCAATCAGTTTTTTTAAAGAATTCTCACATACAATATTTTTTCCTAAGATTATATTGTATATCTTGAATGGTTATATGTATAACAATAATAATGAAATATTTGGAGTAACAGTTTCATGACGACTGAGCAAATGAATTCACTATTTGCAAAGAAGAGTATCAGACTGAAAAGTGTATCAGATGGAAAAGAGTATAAAATAAAAAAAATTATCAAGTGAACAAATTTACTTTATAAAACTAATTTAAATTCTTCTACCACTACCAATGAATTCTCTGTTCCAAGCTATCTTCCTGTTTTTCAGAAAGATTCTAGGAGACATATGCATAGCGTTGGTGTTTACATCTGTGAAAATCTTCTGATGGTAAGAGAATCCTTTCTTGAGTACTGAGGTGATTCTTTCATGTACTTTAAACTTTCTTCATTGCACTGTCTTAGATATATGTTTTTCGTTCATCGCTCCCCTTATTCTCGGGACAATATCATATTAGCCAAAGTATCTGACAGTATAGAAATGGCTCTCTCTTTACAGTCATCTTCAAGCATTTTTGTGTTTGGGGATTTTGATCAGGTGGTTTGATCATTCTTTTGTTACTGATGTTGCCTGTATTCAATATTTCTCTTGCATGGGGTTTCATTAAAGATACTGGGAAATGCGATATGTACACTCAGAAAGAAATCAGAAACAGCAATACAAATTAAAAAAAATAATCTACAGCTACGACTTACAGATTATGCAAAAGCATTTGATAAGTACGACCCAAATAACTATTTGAACTGTTAGGTAAGCTTGTCTTATTTGGGAAAGATAATAGAAGAATCCATAACTAATACTTGGAACAAACCGCCTGCATATGGATAGAAAATGAATTCCCTAAATATATCAAGATAAAAAGTGGCGTATGGCAAGGATCTGTTTTCTCACCGGACATAAACAACCTTTACAGCTTTTAAAGATTGTTGTGGTAGGATCCACCTAATTTGCATAGTGGAGTACCGACCATATAAATATGGTTGGTACCGGGAAGAGAGGGAGGAATCAAGAGATTCAACCAGAGACTCTGCCCGACTGCGACTAAGTCAACACATTCTCCAGGAACGGTCTTACCAGGAATATACAAAAGACTATATGTAAATATTGTGTACACTTTCTTGTTTCAATACATTTTGTTCTAAGTACATTTTGTGTTGCATTATTATTCCATGCATTAGTCAAGTTTCAACAAAGATAATATAAAAAAAGAATGCGATTTTTACGCTTAGAATGATACCAGAAAAAGCAATAAAAATGCAGAAAGATTTATAGGTATGATTTATAGATTATGCGAATGCGTTTGATAAAGTACGACCCAAAGAACTATTTGAACTGTTAGGTAAGCTTGTCTTATTTAGGAAAAATAATAGAAGAATATTACACTTATACTTGGAGAAAACTACCTGAATATGAATAGAAACTGAATTCACTAAATATGTAGGAGTAGAAAGGGGCGTAAGACAAGGATCTGTTTTCTCAACGGACTTAGACAACCTTTACAGCTTTTAAAAACACTGGGACAAAGAATCCTATATCTACCATCAGAATTGTATCAGAAAGAGCAATATAAATGCAGAAGGATGTATATCTATGTTTAATACATTATGCAAAAGCGTTTGACCCAAAGAACTGTTTGAACTGTTAGGTAAGCTTGCCTTATTTAGGAAAGATAATAGAAGAATCCATAACTTATACTTGGAGCAAACTGCCTGAATATGGATAGAAAATTTACATCGGGGTGATCCTGAGCAAAAGGAAACTATAAGAACTATAGAAGCTAGCAAAGGAAAATGAGAAAAAAGGTCTAAACATCATTTCAAACGAAGAACGAATGAATGGTTGCCATCAAGAGGAGCAGCCCAAGATGCTAACTCCGAATTGCAGAATCAAGCAAATACGAAAATTTATATATTTAGGTAGTGCTTAAACAGAGAAGGGAAAAATGCGACATCGGAATATGCATTTTAATAGCGAAAGATTCCTTACAGAAGCTAAACAAAGTCGTGAGAAACAAATAAAGCAATACTGACATGTGTCACTACAGACGGATACTGAAAATACCATGGACTGAACATGTGACTAACGAGGAAGTTTTTAGAGAAAATAGAAATAAATAGGACACTTATACTTAACATCAGAAAAAAAAACAGTTGACATTTCTAGGGCATATCAAGAGGAAAGAAGTCTTGGAAAATTTCATTAGTAGCAAAGAAAAGAGTACTAAACTGTTATATAATATCAGTTTTCCTAAACGACATTGAATGCTGGGCAATCTCATCACAGATGAGGAAGACACTTCAGATACTTGAAGTAGAACGACTACAGCGAATCAATAGCTAAATCTACTGCAAGAAAAATTGAGTCACTGTGTCGTGTCAGAAGGTTTTTCTTGTCAGAGTCCATCTTGAACATTTATAAATCTACCAATCGTCCGTGTTTAGTATTCCGCTACCACGTTTTTTATCAATATTAATTTTTGTACAAAAAGTGGATCACAGAGCTTATTCAGTTTAATAAATATTTTCAAAAACCTCAACTTCTGATTGGTCACTTAATATTTAAATCATGCCCGAATATCAATGTCGATTGCTGTGCAAAAAGTGGATCACAGAGCTTATCCAGCTTAATATATATTTTCAGAAATTCTCAACTTCTAATTGGTCACTTAATATTTGTCACGTTCGAATAACATCGACCCAGTTCTTGACCTGGCCAAAAAATAATTTCACCAAAATCTGTCACGCTTCTGTGAGCCTAACACATGACCAAAGTTAGCAATAAATATGAAACGTCTTTCATCGTCGAAAGTGACCGATCGGAATCCTTGGAACTCGTCGCACAGTTCCAGGCTTTACGTTACACTTCCTTAACATGATTTCAGCCTGTAAAAACACTTAATCACACAGCAATATTTTATCACGAACAATCAACTCAAGTTTTCCACATTCAACTTGATACACAAATCTTTGTCAAACGCTTTCAAGCTGAACGTTAATTATTGCAATTTACATAAACACAGCTTGTAAAGAACCATTTACTCCAACTACAGAATATTCTCTTGGAAAGACAAGTGAAAACAAATCAAAGAGCGACAATTCCGTAAACCTTAAAGTAAGTCGTGAACAATACTTCTCTACTTTAAGTACAAACTTGAACTGTTTATTTTTCCTTAGATTACAATAATACCCAAACACACTTTCTTATTATTGTACAAACAGTTCCACAACTTATAATCTATCAAACCAGAACTTTGATAACTTTTCAATCTAAACATAAAAGGACGTTTGAACTTTTTTAACACTATCTCTTTACTCCAGTAGTTTGTACTTCTTGTTTATATAAATATTTTATTCATTTTTGTACAAAAACTGTTGTTTCTCATGTTTGTTCTTATTCTAAATATTGTTGAATACTGAAATTTTGTGAGAGGAAATTATTAATTTCATCACGCAGCCTATTTATTCAACAATTATTAATCCATATAATTTAATCAATTAACACAACCTCCACACGTGCATTGAATACAGTTGCTATATCTGGTCAGGTGCTTCTGCTATTCATCTCGTAGTTTTTAACAAAATCAAAAGGAGGATCTGCAATATAATCGATCCTGACTTGGCATTTCGACTTCTGTCATTTTCCCACCGACATGATGTGACTTCCCTCTACCTTTTCTACAGATATTTTCGAAGAAAATGTTCTGACGAGCTGTCTTCCCTGGCGCCCTGACAACATGAATTTAAGCGTTCTACTAGATTGGCATTTCGGTCTCACACTTTTACCGTTGAATTAGTTAAGTGTAACCGCCATTTTACTCCAACAGTTTCTTTTCTCGCACTTCCCACCTATTGAACTCCCTTCTGTTTACTTGCTTCCCTGAAAACTACAATCTTCAAAAATTTAAATGCAACGTCAATCGCCATCTTATATATTTTTTAACCAAGTTTATCTATCCTTTCCTCGATCCCCCTATATCAAGTCTTTTCTCTCAGCTTCACTCTCTGTAATCCTCTGTGTACTAGTATCATCCCGCCTTGCTTGAAGTGGAATAATTAAAGAAAATAAAAAAAAATAGCTTGTGTAAATGGATGGCAAAACAGTTATTGGGAAAGGATGATGAAAAGACAAACGTTACTAAGTGCTAAAAAAGATAAGTTGCGGAGTGACATGATCGTTCACGTCCTGAAATGATAGGGCACATAGAAGAAGAAGGATTTGTGGAGGGCCATGATCGCCTAGGTTCTTTAGGAACATAGCATAAAATCATTCAGAGAGTTGAGATACTTTTTCTATATTTAATTAAAATAGAAAAAAAAATAATTGCGGACATGAACAACGAGTCAATTGGTGGAGACCAACAAAACACGTGACCGATATTTCTCTCTCGTCCCCACCCCCCCGCTTCCTAATATGGGAACAAAGCAATAATCCAGTCGGAATGGAGACTGCATCTTGACCTTACAATTGACCTCAAACATTTCAGATGTTTGGCCATATCTATTTCACAGCTGACCACTCCTGTAAATATTGTCTCTTCTCGACGGGACCCCAACCGTTACAAATATGTGCATGATCAGTGGTTCTCAAGCTAATTAAGACCTGCTGAAGAAAGGAAACAAATAACTGAAAAAAGGGGGTTAGTTTGGCGGATGGGTTTATGTATAATTTTCACCGGCCGTGAATTGTGTTTGCAGGGCCGGAGAGGTAGGCCGAAGTATGATCGAAAATGTTGTGAGCGTTGTGTTTGGAGTTACATTTGTTTAGATTAGGGAGACGGTCGAAAGTCGGTCACTGACGACGTTGTCGTCTTTGTTTTGCCGGCTACCGTACTGTTATTGTATTCGTTACTTGGGCTTTTCAACCGACCCTGTTCCATTCCGTCGCCATCTCCTTTCTGTCCGGAGTGAGCGACGCTAGACGCACGTGCTGACACGTGGCCAAGTAGTTTTCGTTTGGCGTCCTCAGACTAATTTAAGTCTTTCGCTTGTGTAACCTTTAACCCCCCCCCTCCCCCAACTCCCTCGCACGCGCCCGATCATCAGTCCTGTTATCTGACTCTGTGTCGGCCAGCCGCTAGTCTGTGTGACAACGCCTCAGTTCTCAAACCTATTTCTTTTGCTCCGGCTGTTGACCACCGGTCATTATCTTAGGTTGAGAGAGAAAGTGTGAGAGAAGAGAGAGAGAGAAATTAAGAGAGAATGAGAGAGAGAAAAGAGAGAGATAGTGAGAAAGAGAAGGAGAGAGATAGGGAGAAAGAGAAGGAGAGAGAGAAAAAAGAGCAAGCGAAAAAGAAGAGAGAGAAAAATAGAGAGAGAAAAATAAAGAAAGAAAGAAAGAAAGAAAGAAAGCAAAAAGAAAGAAAGCAAGAAAGAAAGGTGAATAGTTAGCACGTAGTGTACGTGTCTGAAAAATGTCTATCTTTAATAAACATATGCGTTCACACACACACATGAAATGGACAGGCATATATACTCGGACAAATCTAATATGTTTAAACTAGTTACCTCCACAAAAACGCTATACCTAAGGTTTAAAATTTATTTTTTTAAAGTTCAAAAATTTAATATTTAAAGTTCAAATATTTATTTTCTGAGGTTTAAAATTTATTTTTTAAGGTTCAAAAATTATTTTGTAAGGTTTAAAATGTATTTTGAAGGTTCAAAAAATTATTTTATAAGGTTTAAAATTCATTTTAAGGTTTATTATTTAATTTTTAAGGTTCAAAAATTTATTTTTTAAGATTTAAAATTTATTTTTTAAGGTTTAAAATTTATTTTTTAAAGAGAAAAATCTTTCTTGGAGTTTTAATTTCAAGCTAATAGATATTAAATTTTAAATACTTTGCTGTACTTCAAAACCAATTTAAATTGACTGGAAGGTGATTCTGTTTTGAAATCGTTAATAACCCCTAATTTTGGTGCCATTTTTAGCCAGCAATCTGTCATCACAATGTAATTCTCTTCATCAAAAAATCTTTCAAAAATAAAATATACTTTTCTGAAACTGTATTTGACAAATATTAGCTGCTATTTGATAAGTTGGCAGCTCGAATAACAGATGAAAGTTTAATGTTTCTCTACGTTGGACATATCTGTAAAAAATTACTCGAGGAATATAATTTTTAACTACCTAGAAATCTTCAAAATTTAGGAAAATATTTTCCGTAATCTAATGTTTTATTGAACTTTAGGTACTTTCGTTTAAAATATACTATAGTCATCGCTCTTATTTTCTGATAATGTCGTGTATAGCGTCCGCATTTACAAAAATCGGCACGTTTATACATACACAAAAAAAATTCAAAAATCTTTTTAAAATGTTGGGGGTCGCTGAATTGCAGTAAGCTTTTCCTTTAATGATTATTAAATATCGTTTTTACTTAATAACAATATCACCTAATCAGTGCAAATTGATACAGAAATGTCAAAGATTTAAAACTTTATAAATTATTCTAATTAAAATGAAAAAATAAAACATTTCTTGTAAAAATTCATTATTCATCGAAAAATTTCTTTAAGACAATAATGGTCATAATACATCTTATTCATAAACGCAATTAAAGCTTCTCTAATTTAAATAATGTCTTAGTTTTATTGCGTTTGTTATTTTACGATTCCGAGCGGGTTTTTGGTAACTGTGAGTTCTTTTTTTTAAAAGAAATTGATGATTTAAACTCAAGGAGATCTGCTTATAACTAATACAAAGATTAAGGGATACAAAATTAATTTATCGAAATTAAATGTGTGTGATTTGATGGGGGGTGTACAAAATTTATTTTCAAGATTTTCTAAAAAGAAACATTTCCAAAATAATTTTATTCGCATATGAATAAGTCCTGAAAGTTTCATTAAAATCCGATAATTATTTGATTTTTGCAAGAATTTTCAATTCAATGCATTTTTCACCGCCAAAAATACGCTTAAATTTTCCTAGAGTAATCATTGATCCTCCCACTCCAGAGACGCAAGAAAACAAGATTTTTACGAAATGATCAAAATGATCAAAGCATATAATTCAATAATCAAAAAATCCTTTAGTCTTTCCTCTTAATAATAATAAAGATTTTGAGCGCCTTTTTTCGGGGTACGTCCATTGTTAGCGAATCTCTAGAGCTACCTATGTTTATATATGTAGTACGATTTAGAAGACGGAAGAGAGTTTCACAAGCAAGAACTGTGACGGAAGAAACTGTTAGCAAAGAAGTTAAAGTTAGTGAACCCAACTGTAAAATGATGAGATCTTGATAGTCTAGGACTGCATTTAAATTCATAAAGTCTAGCTACAATACATCAAAATCCATCAGAACAATTACCATAAAACTATTTATAGAAAAGGTACAGGGAATCTTCATTACGGGGTGGGAAAATGACTGAAGCCGAGATGCCAGGTCATGACTAGTAACATTACAGATTCTTCTTCTAATTTTATAGAGGATCTCTAAGCTCCGGAACTTATGTGGCAACTATATTCGAAGTAAGGTCGAATAGTAGACATACATATGTAAGATAGAATCTACCAAGGAACGATTGTATCAACAGACCCATCAATTGATTAATTATATTTTTTATAATCTTATTATAATCTTTCCACTTAGTGTCATCAGAGAACGTTAGCTCGAGGAGGCGCAACAAGTCACTCTCCTGGAGGTTAGCATCTATCATGCTGATGGAAGACAGAGATTAATCTCACAGTTGAGTAATAGAAAGAAGTTTTGTTTTAGAGGCGTACATTTTTTTTATAAAAAAGGTTTCTTAAAACAGTTATCAATAAATTAAATTACAGTAGAATCCCTCATATCCGGAATTCCTCATATCCGGAATTCCTCATATCCGGAATCCCGCATATCCGGAATCCCGCATATCCGGAATTCCGCATATCCGGAATTCCGCATATCCGAAATACCACATATCCGTACATGATTTTGATGTCTATATTTGAAATATTTGTGTGATATATAACTTATTTGAAATTTCTCTTTTTCAGGAAATTTACTTTGGATAATTGCTTATGCTATTTTCACTCTAATAGCTTGCATTGATGCAAAAGATGATGGAAAGAAGAGGAAAAGAACAATTTTAGAATTGTTGCAAAATGTGGAAATTTTAAACAGTCTAAACACTGGTGAAGGTTCATTGTAACTAATGGCTGAGTTCAACATAGGAAAGTCAACATCGTATGATATAAAAATATTCCAATGAAACTATTCTCCAGCGTTCACACTATGAGAATGAATAAGGAAAAAAAAAAAATGATTGTGATGAAATCTGGACTGAAATTGAAAAAGCTATTGAAAAGTTTGACAGTTTTATGGCAAGAAAGCCAGCATTCAGCTATGGCGATTGCAATAACGCACGCAGTGTTAAAAACTGTCTTTCGTTTAAAAAACATTCAATAACAAAAGCAAAATGAAAAAGTTGAGCGGAAAAAAATTCAGAATGGCATTAGAAGAGAAAGAACCATCAAGCAACAGAGATTTTAAAAATCCTCGTTATATTATTTGTTTTGCATATGTGGAATCCTTAATTTAATGAATTTTCATTAACGTTACATAATTTATTTCCTTTTCCTTAAAATTAATTCAGTTATATTTCACTCATCATTAGCTTATTTTGTTTGCCATAAAACATTGAAAATAAATGTTAAACCTGATTTCAGTTGTTTTATTTTAATCTAAATATAACCCCTCATATCCGGGCTTTGTAACTAATTCCTTATACCCAGAAGGCCTTCTTAGCCCGGATGTCAATGATTCTACTGTAAGTAAAAAAAACAAAAACAAAAAACAAGTGAAAAAAACAAAACAAACTAAAGCGCTGCGGTTCTACGGTACCCCTACTACATGGATTTAAACGTGATACTAGATTGGCATATAGGTCCCACACGTTTACTGCTGAAATAACTAAATGCAACCGCCACTTCTATTCCAATAGTTTCTTTTCTCGCACTTCCTTCATGACGTACTCACTTACCTTGACTTGCTTCCCTGATAACTAGAATCTTGAAAAATTAAATTCCACGTCAATATTCGCGCCTTGCTGGGGTGAAATGATTTTAAAAAAAAAACCCTGGATGAAATCGGTTGAGGTGCAGCGTCTAGACACGTCAGACGCCAGAATTTTTGAATTTTGATTTAGCATCCCTGCTTATCCAACGTTGCCTTTTGGTGATTTTTGTACAATCAGCAGTTAAGCAGTGTCGATCTCGGTTAGTACTTAAATGGGGGACCATTTTGGGAACACTGTAAGTGACTTTCTACAACACGAAATATATTTCGGTTTTAAATAACCTATGGAAGTTTGATAAACCGTAAAAAAACAGATCTACCAATCAATTCGTCTCGGTGCATAATTATAACCGATTATTTTATTTATATTCCTTATTCCTCATACATACTTATATATATATATATATATATATATATATATATATATATATATATATATATATATATATATATATATATATATATATATATCATTTCACCAATAAGAATATATTTTTCCATTTTGCCATTTGATCAAAATAGGTGCACCTCCAAAATTCAAGATAAACTGAACCTGACTGCTGATCTACCCTTTGATCTAGCTTTAACAACATAATGCAGAAAAACTGCTTATAACTTTCACTACCTCTAAAACCAAACTAGGTCTGTCTATCGTCAGGTTCACATTTCTCACTGGACTTTTGGACAGGAGTAGAGGTTTATCCCTTGTTTCCTGTTAAGGAAGAGGTTCCTGGTCACTTCGTAAGTTCTAATTCATTTCTATAATTCTAACGTCTCCGCCTAAACTCTAATTTTATTTACTATTTATTTATATATTTTCCTAAATAGGTTCGCTTATCGTTCTATTCACACTTCTCCCTGGTCTTTTCGACAGGAGTAGGTGTTTATCCATTGTTTCCTGTTTAGGATTGTGTTTTTGGTCCCTTCTTAAGTCTACTTCATCTCTTATAATTCTAATGTCTCCGACTAAACTCTGGAAATTTATTTACTATTTATTTATATATTTTTTCCTCAATAGGAGTAGATAGGTTCGCCTGTCGCCCGATTCACACTACACCCAGGTCTTCTGGACAGAAGTAGAGGTTTATCGCTTGTTTCCTATTCCTTCTTAAGCCTACTTCAACTTTATACTTCTGGCGTCTTCGCTCAAACTCTGAAATTTATCTGAGATTTATCCCTTGTTTCATTTTTTGAATTGAGCTTCCTGTTTTTTCTAAAATATTTTCATTCTCTTTTACTCTAAGTAACCCCTTGTGTCTTAGTGACATTAACACCTTGCTTGGGTTCAGTTGATTTTTTTTAATCACTTTATCCCTAAGCAGAGCCTTAATTTTCTCCAATCAATAAGAGCTGGACGTTCATTTTAGACGTTAAATTGAACTCATATATACGTTCCATCGTTAAAGTTGCTAGAAAAGTGGTCGCGATTTGAACATAAGCGGAAGTGGAAGAGAGAAAGAGGATATGCAACCGAAGAAAGGTACCCTGACACAAAGGTACGCTTGCACCAAAGAAGTGAAAGAGAGAGAATTGGGCGGTGAAGGACACCTAAGTAGAAAGTTTTTTGTTTTTTTTTAATTGTTTTAGATCGGAAATGGAGATGGGGACAGAGCGAGGAAAAGGAAAAATAATTTGTATTTTACGGTTTATCAACCATTTGGAGGTTATTTAAAGCCGAAACATATTTTAGATTATTGGTGATTGCTTTTGGTATCCAAAACTGTCCCTGCTAAGTATTGACCGGGCTCGAAACAGCTTAACTTCGCTGATCGGACGAGAACCGCTGTTTTTGACCATCAACGTAACTGTGGAAATACTTGTAGCTTTTGATACCTCGAACAGAGAACCTGAATTTACGAATGGTTGCATACTCAATTTCAACCCCGACTTAAGTTGAACTGATATATACGATCCCTCTAGAAATATGTTCAAGTCATTTTACTTCCCTAGAAAGTTCCTGGATCCTGCTATATTTTATCTGTACAAGGGGCCAAAAGGTGAGTATTGCTGGTGAGCCTTCACTTTCCAAACTTGACGGAGTTCAAAACCGTTTACCCGACTTTGTTGAGAATGACATCTTCCTCCCTTTAGGTCCTTCCATGCAGAAGCAACGTCGGAAGTCTATAACTCCACTAACGCTACTTATATGGAAAGGGTTCAGACGTGCTACGTTCTTTAGTGCCCACATGCGTTCAAATCACGCTAAAAAAAACACCGGTTAACGTTCAATCAACAAAATTAAGTATCATCAAACTCGGTTAGAACTTAGGTAAGTGACGCTTAGGTTTACCGCTGACTGTAAGCAATCTTATACAATTCGAAATATCGTTCGACTCGATATAATAATAATAATAATAATAATAATAATAATAATCCACAAAGGGTTGATAAATCGTAAAAAATCAATCAAACTTTACTGCTCCTACCTCATAACTTTACAGTCAAGAACTTCCTTGATACGTTCACAGGATTAACTCACATTATTTCCCTACGTATTTCTTTGTCAAGAAAAGTGTTCCATTACTAAAAGCTGCTTCCTTAGAACCAATGCAGAGTTTTGCCTCCTCGGACACAGCGATGTTAACCATTGCAAATCGAGGGTCAATCGTTATCTATCCTCCATATCCTCGCAATGTTCACTTTCTACTTTTAACTTTTACCTTCATATTACACACCTAATCCAGCAAATCTTTACCTTGAGTGGCTTTTATTTATTAACAAAAAATTTATGTAAATGTATATAAAGACTTATTATTGTGTAATGCAATTAAGATTAGCACACCAATAATTTCCCACTCTACCGTTTTGACCACAGTTGAATTATTCAATGTGCAACAACGGTTTTGTTTTCAGCGTTCGTCATCTGAAAATGGCGAACGTCTCTGGTTAACGCGATAAGCTCATCTGTCGTTTCGTTTCCAGCCAACTGTCAGATATGCGTCAGAGAAGCGTTCGTGTTGGTGCAAGCCGAAGATCTCGTGTGGTGACGTGACTTGCCAGCAATGTGTCCAATGCGACGAGAACAGAAAGCATAGACAAGGAAAAGTTGATGAATGCGAACGAGAAAGAGATCGCAGGTAAATGTAAATGTAGAAACAGGCGAGAATTAAGAAGGAGAAACAGAATGTAATAGGGAATGAGCGACTAAGTATCAGCTGAAATATATATATATATATATATATATATATATATATATATATATATATATAATATATATCCAAATTACCTTTCTGCATGTCACATTTAGTTTGTAAGAAAATGGTGATTGATTTCAAATCATTGTTATATTTTTGTGGAGATAAATGATGCATTTCACTAGTACTCAATGGTCTTGTCGATGTGACCTCCATCTTCTGGGTTTCTCCTTCTATATTTTGGATAGGAGTCATTCCCTTGTTCACATTTAAATTTAATTTAAATCAAAGGGAAAAATGTTTCAGTGGAGGGTTTGTGCAAAAACTGCTTGATCTGACCCCTTTGGTATATATTTGATGCAATACATGATTGGATGAATTGATGAGCAGATTTCAACATTGATATGACAGTTGAATTGTCGCAACAAATATTTAATGTAAGCCACTACCCACTGATAGGTAATTTCTTCTTCGTCTTGACGTCTATTTTATTGTCTGATTTTGATCTTGCTGGTGTGACCTCCATCTTCTGGCTTTCTTCTATATTTTTGATAGGAGACATTCATCTGTTCAAATTTAATTTTAATGTATATGAAAAGGAAAACAATTTCAGTGAGAGGGTGCCCCCCCATTAATCAAAGTGAAGTATATTTATCCAAGTACCCTGCGTAATGTAGTTTCAAAATATTGTTATGGGGTCTATCTAGGAAAAAATAGAAGTTCGATACAAACAGACAGACAGAGCGTACAATTATATATATATATATATATATATATATATATATATATATATATATATATATGTTTATATTTCTATAAACATGTATATATATATATATATATATATATATATATATATATATATTATATTTTTATATTTCTAAGATGAGGTATTATGTACACTATTTACATAATTCTTACTATTGTTCTCATTGTCGCCATATTTATTACAACGTTTCGGCCGTTGTGCGCTCTGGCGTTCTTCAGGTGGCTGGAATGTCGAACTGAACCCTTATTTCAGCAATCATTTCTTTTACCATATTGGAATTTTTGCTGTTATCAAATCCATGTTTATACCAGAGCTCATATTGCATTTTTTGTTGTTATTATTATCGCTTTTCTCTGGCACTCCTTATTACTGGTTCCCATATTGTATTCATTTCTATGCTTGATCAGCTCAGGAGATTTTTGTGGCCAAGCATATGTGCTGATTCCTTAAGTTTACGAATTTTCCAATGGTGTTCTCTGTCTATGATTTCAGCCTGATCCCACAGAGGGAAGGGATCTCTCTTTTCTCTCCATATGTGGTCAGCTATGCCTGATTTTTCTACTTCCCCTCGAGTTACAGCTTTCTGGTGTTCTTGAAGCCTTACCTTTAAGGGCCGGTCTGTCTCCCCCTTATATTTTTTCCGCAGCAAAAACAGTAAAAATTGCAATATGAGCACTGGAAAAACTTGTGGCTGAAGACATTAGGTTTATAATGCCCAGAAATTAATACACAGATGTCCTCAAGGACACAGGGCCCAGTGGATAAAGGCGTTAATTAGATCCGGAGTGTGAGTTCAATGCCCGGTTAAAGCAGTGGAGAACTTGGAGAGGGGAATTAACAGGAGATAACTGATAACTGACATCCATTAAACATGGCACGTGGAACTAGAACACTCTATCCCAGTGAGCGAAATATTTGGTTCAGTTCGACATTCCAGCCTGAAGAAGGCCGGAACGTACAACAGCCGAAACGTTGTATAAATATGGCGACAAAGATGAGGACGATAATCAGAATAATGTAAATAATATATATATATATATATATATATATATATATATATATATATGGTTGGATAGATGTGAGTTTGTGACCTGGTTTTCACGCTTTAGCGATCGTCATCGCTAAAGCGTGAAACCCAGGGTCACAAACTCACATCTATCCAACCAAATATGTTAGATTTATCTCTGATATTGAGCGCTTTCTAATAAGTACCGCGCATATAATATATAAATAATTATACATATATATATTTATTTATATTTATATACACTTTTCACACACACACACACACACACACACACACACACACACACACACACACACACACACACATATATATATATATATATATATGAATATATATATATGTGTGTGTGTTTGTCTGTCGAGAAAGTGAATAGAAGGAGAGTAAATGTGAGTAAGCCAATAACGAAACCCTGTCTCTCGTTGCGGTAATGAAAATGTGATTTGGTTACATTACAGATGCCGAGATCCTGTTTGTTCAGCTTTGATAGTCGTCCAGTGTGTTTGTAGATCAGGACACGTTGATTGGCAGTTCTTCGACGGTTATTTAGCAAAGACCGCGTGGGCCCTTGCGTACAATTAAGAAACCCGACCGGTCCGTGGGAGTTAAGGTGCAGGAAGCCCAGCACAGTGCGCTTACTCTTCGAAATCCGTTGAGAATAAATGTAATTAAAGAAAGCAAAAATGACCCCTGCTGAATAATTAAGTAAATGGACCCTATCTACAAAAAAAAAAAAAATCCATAAGACCAAGAGACGTAATCTACTTCGTATCATCCGGCTGATAAATATATTAGACTAACTCAGGTCTAGGCACAAACTTCTTTTTTCAGACCGATACCCAGTTTAAAGTCTGGCCGCTAAGCCGTGATATCGGTGCGGAGAGTGGAATCAGAAATACGAGATAGATAGATAGATAGAGAGATAGATAGATAGATAGATAGATAGATAGATACGAACAGGCTGATATAGACAGATCATGAACAGACTGTGATAGATAGATAGATAGATAGATAGATAGATAGATAGATAGATAGATAGATAGATAGATACGAACAGGCTGATATAGACAGATCATGAACAGACTGTGATAGATAGATAGATAGATAGATAGATAGATAGATAGATAGATAGATAGACTACATCACGCAGGGTACTTGGATAAGTATATTTCTTTTTGATTAATGAGGGGGCACCCTCTCACTGAAATTGTTTTCCTTTTCATATACATTAAAATTAAATTTGAACAGATGAACGTCTTCTATAAAAAATATAGGAGAAAGCCAGAAGATGGAGGTCACACCAGCAAGATCAAAATCAGACAATATAATAGACGTCAAGACGAGGAAGAAATTACCTATCAGTGGGTAGTGGCAATTTCCCACAAATGTACTCGGACCACGCATCTATCTATCTATCTATCTATCTATCTATCTATCTATCTATCTATCTATCTATCACAGTCTGTTTATGATCTGTCTATATCAGCCTGTTCGTATCTATCTATCTATCTATCTATCTATCTATCTATCTATCTATCTATCTCATTCTGTTCATAACTGTCTATCGATTTTGTTATATACCATACCTATGAACATTTATGGATATGTCCCTATCCGCATAAATACGTTGGACGCTGTAAGTCGGGGTAATATGTTGTCTAAGTAGTCCACCATTAGCAGTAGTTTACTTAATTCACGCCGCTTTCGAGTATTGTATTTTGTTGATATTATAAAGATTAAAATTTAATTTCCAACCTCCGTTTTGGATATTCCTTATTCAGTAGCCCTTTCTCGGTTACAACAGTATTATCGATAACATTTTGTTCAAATCTATCTATCTATCTATCTATCTATCTATCTATCTATCTATCTATCTATCTATCTTGGTTGATATTTCTGAAAAACAGATGACTGAACGCAAATTTCGCCGGAGGTCATATTTAGGCACGCAAATTATTGATTTTAAATTTGATTTGATCCTCTCTTTATACAGATTTGCCCAAAGAGGAATTGTGAATTATCATCATCATCATCATCATCCTCATCATTATTATTTCCATCACCGAGTGTGGTCGTAGGATCGCTGCGCACCTGAGTACCTGATGAGCTCCCTGCATATATCTGGGTTGAAAGCCGGAGAGGTATTCATTTATGTATTGGACTAAATGGCAGTTGACACGACAAGAGCGTTCCCCTGCACGTTTTCTTTTAATATCCTGCCGGGTGTTTAGCCATGTTCCTCACTAGAAACTCCTGGCGCCCGAACAAGTTCAGTTTCTGATGACCCGAACGTGTAGCAACTAAGACTGTACAGGAAGTCAAAAATATGGATACAAACGGTTAGCCTCTTTAGTCTTTGAAGCCAATATTTGTCGCCCAATTCGCTCCAAGTTACTTATGATCCCATTTTATATAGAACTAAGAAAGATTTTATATAGAACTAAATATGATTTAAAATGTTTTATTAAAAAGAGATTTCTCAACTTTTATTCTAATTTTTCCGGAACTTATTTGGTTAAAAATTATTACATTTTATTCCTAACAACAAAAGACATTTGTCTATATCTCTGAGATGACGTATTACAATTACTTGTATTATTTATGTTAATCGAACTGTTATGCTCATCTTCATTGTCATATTCACAACGTTTCGGCCTTCTTCAGGTGATTAGAATTTCGAACCGAATCCTTTATTTAGTCCACCGGGTTAAATTGTTCTAGTTCCACGTGCCATGACTCTTCCGGGTGTCTACTTTATGTCACTTTACCTCAAATCTCCATGTTTTGGTTCACCACTGCTGTGGCATGGTATTGAACTCGTAACTCTTTAGGTCTAGTCACTGGATGTAAACAACGTCTTGGCCATGTGAGCTTGACTAACTAAGAAATTTATAAATTATTACAGTTCATTGCTAACACTATAGAATATTTGAATAAAAAATTAGTGATTTTGGATCAGGGATAGAAACGACCAATAACAATACAGGCCCTTTTTTTGGATTTTGTCGAGAATCTCGATATAAATAGCTTGGAAATTTACTCATCACATATACTAATACTTCTTTGAGTAGCCGCCTTACAGGTCACTTATCAGATCAAAGCGCAACAAAAAAACATCTAACCACCCGCAATTTACAAGATACCTTAAGGAAAATCCTGGTCGAAAACACAAAAATTCTATATAAATCAAATTACCGGTGACATCTCGTTATGAGAGATGCCCTGTATATAAAACATCTCGCTCCCACTATCAACCTCACCTTATTCAGTAGTGGCAATGCGGCTATTGAAAGTATTTTTTAAAACAACAGAAAGAGGGTCACTTGAATTCCAGCTACTAATATTCAAAACAATACAGAATCGCATCTTATAGAGTCAAACATGAAGAGAAACCAACAACAACCCCAAAATACCTTCCTTGGAAATGGCTAATGAAAAACTATATAAAAATTAATTCAGTTTTACTTGCCTGTCATTCAAAAAAACACACCCGCCACACACACGCGCGCGCGCGCGCACACACACACACACATATATTATTCACTATGTATAAGGAGGTCTGTTGTATTATCATAGCCGTTGTTAGTTGATAACCACAGCATAATATAGCTAAAAATATCTCCATTCAGATCGACAGTTATTTTAAACTCAATAGCCTCTAGAATGATTTGAGACATAAACGTTACCACTCACCCACCCAATAAACGTTCCTGAAATACAATATACCTTGCTACCCATAATGCACAATTAACCATCATATATAAATATATAAATAAATGCTTAAAACACAACGTTCAGGGATGTCAAAACAATCGTCGTACGGTGTTGACCTCAGTGTCCACACACACACAAACACACACACACACACACACACATATATATATATATATATATATATATATATATTTAAATATCGATATCTTACCTCTTACTGTGCAACACTCTACCTCAGGCAGCTCTTGTGTGAACATTATTGTAATATATATATATATATATATATATATATATATATATATATATATATGTGTGTGTGTGTGTATATATCTGTGTGTATATGTATATATATATATGTATGCATTTATATATATATATATATATATATATATATGTATCAGATACAGATGTTTGGATAGACATATCTGTTTTGTAAACAGTATAATTTTCACTTATCAGGTTATCGTGATTTTTTTATTAAAGGGTTCAAACCTCAATTTCCATAATGCTGTAAAAACCATTATGAAGTTCGCTTTATATATATATATATATATATATATATATATATATATATATATATATATATATATATAACGATATATAACTTTGTATAATTTCATATATCAACAAATCGTATTTAGAAAAATAGTATAACAAATTGGTAAAAATCTTTGTGACGCGTTTCATCCGTTAGGATTTCATCGGACTAGGCTTTGTAGATGTTGTAAAATCCAGAATGATCGTTGGTTTCTCTTTATGAGCACTCTGAATTTTCAGCCCTCAATATTTTCACGACAGGAATAAATATATTGAAAATACTTTCAAGATCCTTCAATACCATAACTGTGTCATGTTCAATACGAAATAAAAGGATCATAAAATAGAAGAACTCTCCTTCCTGACAAACTCAACCAATCAAATAATATATATATTAATCTACACAGTAAATCTATCACAACTACAGCCGAAAAGAATTTATCTAAACTCAAAATTTGTCACAGCTACATCTAAAACAATGAAATACTTAATCAATAAAAAACAAAACAAGCCAAAATTTGAAGGAGGAATTTTCTCTGTCAAGTTCAGGAATTTCCAGAATGAATACATTAAACAAACCTCAAGTAGTTTAAACAAAAGACTATATGAACACAAAAGAGCCTCACTAGGTAGTGGGTTGCTGCATGATTTTGTACGTGCGTAAGGGAAGGCAAGCAGTACCGTTTATGAGATTATATAGGAATGATAATAGTTAATCCTAGACTTGAAGAGATTAAGATTCTAGTGATTCGGGTAAAATGCTGCCGGGAGTCTGTCCCATAAAGCGGTAGGTCTTGGGAATAAACTGTCTGTGTCGAACTTCTTTCTTACGATCTCTTACTGTTCTTTCATCCATTTGGACAAGTGTGTTAGGTAGGTTATTCGATACCTTCCTCTTGCTTTCAGTAAGTGTGCGTCATTTCTTCCAAGCTCTTTTCACATTATGGGTCTAAGAAATTTCAGTTTCTCTCTTGATTCTAATTTCAGTCAGTTAAGTGCTACAGTGGGGCCGAATAAAAGATCGTACAGCAAAAAAAATGCTTGCTATTCTCACTTATAGAGAATGGAAACCTCGAATAACAATGTTATATATGTATTTGGGGGCATAGAATCAGAATCTCCAATTTAAAATTAGAAATTCATCGATAAGTGATAGTTATCCAAATTTTTATATTTCGAATAGTGGAAAAAATGTTCGTACAGTATTAATTTTTGCATTATAATACAGTAGATTTTGGTTGTCTTCAGGTTTTGATGTTTGTTGGATCTCTATTACGGATCTTATTTTTCATAAATCGCCATAAATTGTCTATTGGATTCAAATCCGGGGACTGACTGGGCCATTGTAAGATCTTAACGTTGTTATTAGCATAAGAAGACAATTACTCAGGAAGAATGGGACAAAATACCTACTAAAGTATGCAAATAGTTAATTAAAGACTACAGGAAGAGAATGATTGCTGTTGGACTTAATGAAGGCTTTGCTACAAAATATTAAATGGAGAAAACATTTTTGTCCTGTTGTACGATCATTATTTAAACCCCTAAATTTTAAATATTGCTATATTTTCATAACCATAGAATATTATTTAGTTTTATATGCATACATTTTTAGTATGCAATTTGATACAGTAGATATATTCCCGTTTTGTCAATTTAATATGTTACGAATAAAAATATGAAATATTTTCATATGTACAATCACTTATTCAACCCCACTGCATGTGTGATATACGCTTAGACGATCATGTATCTTTCGATTGATGAGGCAGTTTTTTTCCTGCAGTGGGTTGTCCATTTCTTTCTGGGGTCGTCTGTTCTGCTATTTATTTTAACTGTGGTGGGGGGAGAAGTAGAGGATTCCTAGAGGGTATTAGAACGTAAGTGAATGTAATGGATTCGACTGGAATTCGAACTCGGCTCTCCCATTCCTCAATCCGAGCCGCTGTCCACACTGCTTCCTGATTCTAATTTCACGTGTTCTTTTTGCTTCCGTTTTTCTTAAAACTTCCTCGTTGATCACATGTTCATCCCATGGTATTCTCAGCATCCTTCTATAGAGCTTCACTTTTGTGGCTTCAAATCCTTTCTTCATCGATGAGAATATTGTCCAGCATCGACTGACATATTTAATAAACGAAGCTTACATGTGGCACAAGGCCGAAATAATGGAATCCCCAGTGATTATCGAAAGAACTACTCAGTCGTAATTGATCTAGCTAGACAAGCTTGTTAACTATTACACCACCTCGAAGTAACCAAAATGATTTTCTAAGAGTAGCTTAGATGTGGTACCAAGTTAAAGGTGTGAAGCACCCAGTGAGAATAGAACTCTGCAATAACGAGAGAATTATTGGATTACCGCCCCTTGATGATAATTACAGGTGGCGAAATTTTGAATTTTCGCCCCCTGACGATAATTACAGGCGGCGGTGCGAGATTTGAGAAAATCTATCTCTTCCGGGTTTTTCCAGGTTTAGACTATCGAGAAAGAATATTCATCTATTTTTGTCACTGAAGTTGGTGTCTCACTCGAGCAAAAACCCGGTGGCTGTAATACAAATCTTCAGGTGTGGCAATAGTAGGTCATTATAGCCACTGTGAAGGAAAATGAATAAGCAGTGAAGAGGCCGTA